GAAGGGAAGGGAGAAGGAGAAGGGAAAAGGGGAAGGGAAGGTTTGGGAAGGGAAGGTTTGGGAAGGGAAGGTTTGGGAAGGGAAGGGAAGGGAGAAACTGAGGTTGAATAATATGTTTCCACAGTATATGAATCCTTGTAGGGCACAGAAACTGAGGTTAAGCAACGTTTCCACAGTCCATGAATCCTCGTGGGGCAGGATCGCGTATTCTCCTTCCCAGGTGCGATTTCCTCGTCCCTTTGGTTGCAAATCCCGCACATGAACCTTCTCCCGAGCCTTTTGCCGCGAACAGAGGGCTCCTCATATCGACCCCGAGCCCGCTATAAATGCGACAACCGACCCCACGGGAAAACCGCGTCTACAAAATTCCCCCAAATTCCCTCAAACCGGCCGGACCGGGAGCACAGCCGGGACACGGGAAGCGCTGACACTCGCGTTACCTGCAGGGCAGGTCACGGCCCTCGCTGCGGGGCGAGGACGGCCGAGCTTGTCCTTGTTTTCAAGCCATCCTAGGCGGGACAAGGGAGCGGTGCCGATTATCCCGATGCTCCCGACGCTTCCCGGGGCTCTCCCGGTTGGAGCGGCCGCGGGGGGAGCCGCCGTTCCCGCCCGCGCCGCCAGGGGGCGCCCGGCGCACCGACCGACCGTCGGGCTGTACCATTTCACCGCGGAGGGGGAGAGCGGGGTGACAGGGTACCCGCTGCGGGCAATACCGCTCAGCGACACGACAGCAGATAACACCGGGAGAAGGGTGACAACGACAGCGGGTGACATCGAGAGCGGCCGTGGCGTAACGGGGACATCTGGAGCCGTGATACACTGGGCTATGCGATGGCGCCCCCCGCGCTGTGCTGGTGGTCTCGCCCCGCTGCGGCCCTGGCGGCGCGGGCGGGGGCGGTTTTCCAGAGGGGCCGTTTCCATAGGGATCCACTGCGGGAGCCGCGCCCGCCCCGCGCCGGGACCGCGCCGGGACACGTCACCGCCGCCGCCCCGGGACCCAGCGGGGCCCTCCGCAGGTACCGGGAGGGAGGGGAAGGGAACCCGGCTGAGGGGGATCCCGCTCTGTCCCGGGGGTGACTCCCTGGCACGGCCCCGGCAGGTGGGGATGGGAATGGGAATGGGGACGCTGGAGGGGCAGCGCCGGTGCCTCGGGAGCGCCGCACTCACCTCCCCGGATCCCCGAATCCAGAACGGTTGTGGTTGGGAGGCACCTCTGGAGATCGCCCAGTCCAACCCCACATCCCCCTCCCCGGGCAGGGTCACCTGGGGCAGGTGACACAGGAACGCGCCGGGTGGGTCGGGAATGTGTCCAGAGTGGGAGAATCCACGCCCTGCCGGGCTCCCCAGGGCACCGGGCACGGCCCCAAGGCTGCCAGAGCTCCAGGAGCGTTCGGACAACGCTCCCAGGGACGGGGGGGGGGGGATTCTTGGGGTGTCCTGGGCACCCTTGGATAATCCCGGTGGGTCCCTCCCAGCTCAGGATATTCCGCGATTCTCCCTGGACAGCCTGTTCCAGGGCTCTGCCCCGCTCCATGGAAAGAAGTTCTTCCTCGTATCGAGGTGGAACTTGTTGTGGTTTTACCATCAGTGCTGGAAGCTGATGAGAAACTATTAACATCAGGATTGACTAAGGAAGTTTGTGACCCAGGATTTGGGAGATGTGCCTGAAGGTCACTGGCAAGCGGCTTTTGTTTGGCTTTTTTTAACTATTTATATTTTTTTTTTTAATCTTCCTGCCTTTGTGTCCAAGCACAAACACGATCTGTTGGCCATGTTTAGATTACTGGATTCTGTCAAACCTTGCTGACATCTGGCAGCTGAGGTGCATGGCCATCAATCCACGCTAGAGCATTCCACCCATCCCTGCTTTTCTGCTTGGGAATACACCATTTACCTGTCCTTTCACTGCAAAATCCAAAT